GGAAGAGGCTCCTGGCAAGTCCCTAGAGCTGACTCTTATATGTGTGGAAATTTTGTAGATTGTTTCTTGTTGACTGCACTGTGAGTCTTTTCACTGTGGCAAGCAGATGCTCTGAAATAGGACTTGTCCTCTCTACCCCCACCCCAGATTGCTAGTTATCATCACACCACTGGATGAACCCTTTAGAGGTCATTTGCTTGACCTCTGGCAGCATGAGGAACCTTTGAACATAGTTCTTCAGGTGTGGTCATCTTCTTATTGTTTAATGCTACCCTTCTTATTGTTTAATGCTACCACATACAGGGTGACCACTCCCCCTTGTTAGCCAGCACGCAAACCCAGCTCCCTGAGACTTCCTACCAATGGAAAGTTGTCCTGCCACAACTCCAATGCCCTTTAGAATAGGTGCTGTTTCCCTGGGGAGCTATCTTCCCCACTGCGTCTACATTTGAGACCCAAGACATTTTATCAGAGTCAAAAGCCCAGTCCTGTCATTTCCCTGGCTATGATCTTGTGCAATTCTAAACTCCTCTGGTCCCACAGGACGTCATCTCTAGGGATGGAGATGAAAATAGCACCTACCTCATGAGTGATAGTGAAAATTAAATAAGAAATCATATGCAGAGAGAATAGTACCTTACCAGGCCTACATCTAACTCATGAATTTGTTGGGAGGATTAAATTACTTAATCCTTATAATGATTAACTTAATTCTAAGTAAATTAGTTAGAACTATGCCCAGAACAAGGTAAGCACTATGTAGATGTGACTAAATCAATCAGAAATGTAGTCTTTGTACTCCTCCTCACCATAGTCACTCTATGCTGGGGTACTACCTCAACCAAAACGTAATGTCAGCATTTGCCTAATTTCTCCAGTCTTTGGCTGAAATGTTAGGCTTTGACTCCAATCTCTAGCCCCTGACTGGCAGGAACAGCCAATTCTCTCCCTCTAAGGTGTTTGTTGTTGTTCTTGTTCATTTTATGAGACAGAATTTGACTGGGTAGGCCCAGGCCAGCCTAGAATTCACAGAGATCCTCCTGAGCCTCAGCCTCCAGAATGCTGGGATTGCAAGTGTACAACACTATGCCTGGCTCTTCTGCTAGGTTTTTAATACACTCAGAAAGACAAGTTCCCTGGTTCCCTGTCCCATGGACTTTACTTGCGATTGGAGACAGAGAGACAGTAAACAAGTAACTAACAGACTCACTTCAGGCTGTGATTTGTGCATTGAAGGGAACAGAGAAATGTGCTGGACCCTGGGGACATCCTTGATCCGAGGAGGCCTGGAAGGCCTCCCCTAAGCGGTGATGGGGAGGAGACCCAAAGGATGAGGCCTGAGTGAAAAGCATTGCAGGCAGAGGTAGCAGTAAGGAGAGGGATACGTGGGAAAGAGCCTGATTTGAGGCGCAGGAAGCCCAGTGAGTCTGGAAGACAGAAAAAGGAGTATGTGATATCTAACGTCTGAAGTCAACACGCATGGCTCCTGCAAACTCCTGTGGACCATTGCAAGGGCTTCTGGTTTATTCCAACTGCATGGCTATGATAGAACCTGGATGGCATTTATTTTTGGAAGGGCAGAGAGTCTCTTTATACAGCCAACACTGGCCTCAAACGTTCTGTTGAACTTTCCTTAGCCTCCTGAGTGTTAAGATTACAAGCAAGTCCTGCCATGCCTGACTGGACTGCATTTTTAATCCATTAACACTGACTGTAATGTGGAGAAGGGGCTGAAGGAAGGGAGGAAAGGCAGGGACAGGAAAGTCTCAGGAGGCTGCAGCAGTCCACGGGAGAGGTGGTAGTTTGATCTTGAGGGAAAAGTAACGGTCAAGGTGTTAATGGCAGGGCAGAGGCTGAGCTGGAAGGATGAAGCAATGAGGGAATCTAGGGGTGATGTCAGATTTGGGGCTCAGGTCATTTGGTAGCCATTGACTAAAATGGGAATAGGTTTGGGAATAGGTGTGGAAAGAGAACTCAAAACCAGATTGGTGGCTCTTCTAAATTTAAATGTTCTTGTGGCGTTGCATGTGAATTGAGAAGCGAGAAATGTCTCAGTTTTCAAGAGCTGGAAGAGAATCCTCTAGCCTCCAGTCACCATAGCACCTTAAGCCTTCTCCACAAATGATCTCAGTTGGGGAACCCCATGTTCCTCTTCCTCTCACCCCACTCTTCAGCAGTTGCTTTCCAACCAGCAAACTCGAATTCCTCTTGATTTTACTTACTGCCAGTCCTCACTTCTCTTCAACTCAACTGAGATGCCAGGGGCATCTCTGTTCACTAAACAAAGCAAGCATGGGCCCTACTATGTGGTGCCACACACATTCTGTCCTGCCCCAGCTCATCGCTGACAGATGCAGAGAGTGAGTTTTGAGAGAATGTGAGGGGATGCTCTCTGTAGCTCCTCTTAGTACACCAATTCCCTCTAATAACCCCCCTGGGAATCAAGCATCCTGCTTTATCCAGCCTTCTCTTGCTTGACCTGACTTCTAGTTCCCTGTACTAGTTATTGATTTCCCCTTATTTTCTGGTTTAATGGCTAGAGATGACAAGAGTCTCTTCCATATTACTCTAAAACTGTGGTCATTATCACTCTCAGTAATAATAGTTGCTATTTATTCAACCCTCAGTAGAGAAAACACACTTCCTCCCAAGTGCTTCCCATGTGTGGTTCATTTAAGAACGCTGTGAAGGCATTGGTATCATCCCGTTTTATACATGAGACTGGGAGGATTTTTTAGCGAATCTCAAGGCCACCCAGTTAGCAAAGGATCAAGGAGAGATTTCAACACAAGTCATCAGATTCCCCCACCGCCCAGGAAGGAAGGCTGAAGTGCCCTGGCTTTCGTGTTTCCCAGACCTGCTTCCAGTGGGGGCTAGCCAGGTTTTAAAGTGAGTGGGGTGGGTATAGAGAGATGAGGAGTCTTGGTCCATATAAGCAATTGGTACAGGGACGGGACATATTAGTAACTGCCATTACATTCATTTTAGAAGCGATGCAACCAGGCCTGGTTCTGTGAGATTGTTAGGGCAGACTACAGAGGCACTGGAACCACCCAACCCCAGTGCTGAAGGTGACTTGCAGAAGTTCAGGAGAGCAGAGAGTCTGTCCCAAATTACAGTGTAAATATATTGCTTCAAAAGAAAAAAAAAAAAGAGCTAAGCCAAGTGCCAGTGGCTCACATCTGTAATCTTAACTACTGAGAAGCTGAGGTCTGAGGATTGGGGTTCAAGGCCAGCCCAGGCAAGAAGGTCCCTGAGACTCTTATCTCCAATTACTCACAGAAAAAAGCAGGAAGTGAAGCTGTGGCTCACATGTTAGAGTGCCAGCCTTGAACAAAAAGAAGCTCAGAGTCACCATCCAGGCCCTGAGTTCAAACTCAAACTCCAGGACTGGCCAAAAAAAAAAAAGAGCTGAAGGTGAAGGCATGTATATAAGCAAAGATCCTGCCTCAGTGGCAGTCTGGAAGTGGAGAGATGCGTGGGCGCAGGCAGGGATCCTGGGGGACCTCTTCATCTCCACTGCTCCCTGCCGCTCACACTCTGCAGAAAGCTCTCATCCACAACATCTAGGGAGAGACCCAACTTTATATCTGGTTTCAAAGCAGAAGCAGAAGAAGAAGAAAAAGAAAAAGAAGAAGAAGAAACAACAACAACAGCAGCAGCAGTAATAGCAACAACAGGAAGAAGGGTTTATATTCACATTTACAAAACAGTATTCTTTCACATACAAAGCAGTCTAATTGTGGAGATTATTGTGGGGCTTAGAAGAGAGAGAATATGTTCTCACTAGTGCAACCCCACGGCAACCAGATAACTGCAGAAGCGTGTTTATAGACAGTATCTTTGAGGCTTCCTGTGACTGGTGTGAGTTGTTTTTCTTTGTTTTTCTCTCCTCCTGTCTCTTCTCCAGGAGTTGAACCCTCCTAGTTCTGGAGATTGTCACTGGCATACAGAAAGGAAGAAATGATATTTCTGGGTGAGATTCTCACACCCTATTTGTCCCTCCGTTCCGGCTCTTACTATTACGTAAACATTTAAGTCAACATCAGCTGATTTTGAAAATTAAAAAAAAAAACAACTCTTTCTCGTCCAAACAATAAGAGGTCTAAGGAAGCAAAGCTCATTGCCTAAACCTTTATCTCTATGTAGTAGTCCTCCTCATGAACAGTTTTAGAGGAGACTGCAGGGAGAGGCAGGGAGGAGAAGGTAAAAGAAATTGCCTGGAAAAGGCAGATACTACCAAAACACAGGCTATGGAAATGTCAAAGTAAACCCCATTAATATGTACAATTAATATGCACTAGTAATTGTAATTTTAAAGTGGGGAAACACAGTTAACTACAGTCAGCCAGTCAGAAAACATTAAATGGAAAACTCCAGAAATACAATGTGTAAGTTGTAAATGTCTTTTATGATAGCAAATTGTTATAATTATTCTATTTTATTATTATGTGTATCTCTCATTGTGCCTAACTTTATCATAGCTATGTATAGGGCCGGGAGGGGGGAAGTCATAGCATATACCGGGCCTTAGTACCGTCTATGGTTTTTAGTGTCCACGAAGCTCTTGGAACATCTCTCCAGAAAACAGGGGGGATTGTGTCTTATTTATTTGATTGCTCTCATAACTGTCCTGGGATGGTGTAAGCATTATTCATTCTTTTTCTATATTTGTTAACTTATTTGTCCAAGATCACGAAGCCTATGTAGACCTAGAACCTAGAGCCTTTGGCTGTATAGCCCAATTTCTCTCCAGCTTTCAGGTATGGTCATGCCATCAAGCCACATGAAGTCCTAGAAGAAGAGCCCACTGAGGCTGAAGAGGAGTCTGGGCAGCCACCCTCTTCCCTACGCCTGTGATTTGAGGGTAGACTTGGACCTTTCTGAATCTCTTTCTGTTTTATTTTTCTGTTCATTTTTTTTTCTTCTCCTATTTCTTCTCCTGGCTGGGTCACCCCACTCTGCTCTTTGTGTATGATACTTATTTTTTCCATCCACAGCAAAACAATTCACATCAAGGTAATTGGTGATGAGGCGTATGAGAAAAACAAGAATTACTTCATTGAGATGATGGGCCCCCGCATGGTGGATATGAGTATTCAGAAAGGTGTAGTACCCTGTCCTCCACACTAACATGAACATTCTTCTTTTCTCTTGTTTCTTTCTTTCTTTCTTTCTTTCTTTCTTTCTTTCTTTCTTTCTTTCTTTCTTTCTTTCTTTTCTTTTCTTTCTTTCTCAAAATCTCTTCCTCTTGCCTTCCACCTTTCTGATTGATTCCCTTGTTTCTTCTTCTCACTCTGTTTTTCACCTCTCCCTCTCCTCTCTCCTCTCTGTGCTCCTCAATCTGTCCTAACACCGGCCAACCTGTCACATGGTAAATAGAAGAGGAATGCTCATGAACCAATCAAAAATTCTCTGGGATAAAGAGAGAGAGGGAGAGAAAGGCAGAGAGAGAGAGTATGAATGAGAGAGAGAGAGAAAGCACCCTGAGAATATCATACATGAAACTCTCAGCTTCTCCTGAATGGCTTTGCACAGGGGAAAGAGAATGGCCAGATATCACCTGGCAAGAGATAGCACTAGAGGGAAAGAGACTCTCAGCACAGATTCCCAAGGAGCAGCTATTCTTAAGGCTAAGCTTATTGCTCCAGGAAGTTGGAGAATCAGTGTATATGGACTGTGGTTCATCCTACTTCCCAAAATAGCCCTCTGGAGCTATCTTATCTGTCACACTCCTAATATCAAAGCTTATTTCTTTCCCTGACCTTCACTGAGCTGAAAGTACAGGCTTACATTCCAGATGTTAGTCAAAGACCTGCCTGCCTTCTTCTACTTTCCCTTTTAAGAACAGCTAGGGGGAGAGACAGAGAGATAGAAAAGGCTGGGAAAATGGGAGAGAGAGAACTCTGGTCTGGGTGGAGGCTTCCCCAGCACGTCCGCAGCACTTTTCAGGGTAAAAGTCACTTCAGAGTTAACTGACCTCACATATCCCAAGTTGGAGAATTTGTTCCTGGATAGACCATTGTGTGGAGAGGGAGCTGCCAATTCCTTTGCCCAGCTGTCATCATATCCCTGTAGGCCAGATTGATGGGTGCAGAGTCTCAGCCCCATCCCTCACTAGAGTCCCTGCTGCAGATACCAGACTCATACCTTGTACACAGCCCATGGCCCCAAATTTAGGACCAAAAGAGAAATGCCCTCCCAAATGCTCAACTATCAGTGTTCTCTCTTATCCACTGAGAAGGATATGAAAAAATATTCCACAAAGGATGCCAGAAGCAACCAAAATGTACTCATAAACACACACACACACACACACACACATACACACAGAGTGTACAGTGAGTCCTGTGCACCACAAATCAGGTCAAATCAGTTTGCTATTTTGCTGGCAGCAAAGCAAAGCATGTCTTCCTACTGTCATAAAAATCTCAGAGGATCTGAAGATACATAGGCCCTCATTCATTCACTCTCTGCCCTTTAACAGCATTTAGAGCCCAGACCCTCCTCCTGTTCCTGTACTACCACCCCGCAAATAGAATGGCAATTCCAGCTGGCTCATTAATGGGACTCCCTTGCTCACACTAGAGCTCCAGAAAGGCCCAGGAGAAGCCACACAAAAGAACCAGGCTCACATCCCAATCTCAAACCAGTTCTTGGAGGGGACTAACTTCCAAATAAAATTGTTCCCTGGTGGCTTATTTATAAAAAGACTTTATGCTATCTTAAGATACCCAGAGATGAGAAGAAACTTTCAACCCCTTAAAATCCAATCCCAGATTAATCAGCACAGAAGAGGTCAGCCCAGGGATATAGCATCCCTTTCCAACAGGGAAAGGCAGGGTAAGGGATTCCTGTATCCTACTTAGCTATTTTGGTTCCCACTACTCACTAGGAGATTTAAAAAAAAATGAGAAGGGTAATAGAACTTGCCTCACTTTCTCTACCCCTTTCTCTCTCTCTCTCCCACCCCTCCTTCTCTAATTGCCCTTCCTCATAAGTACTTTCATTTGAAAACTTTACCAGGCTCATGTGAGAAGTGGACACAGCTACAAAGAAAGGGCAGGGCCCTGGATTCCATGGATATATTGCCTGTTGTGAAAGGGCTCTGGGTCATTTCTAGTGGGCAGGTCATTTACCTGTTGGCCAAAGAAATGCCACTGTTACCATGTGACACCCGGAATGTGCTGCCCAACTCATTTCCTACTAACCTTGGCAGGATCTAAAACCACTCCTCCCCACCATCACCCAATCACCCAGATCTTCCTTTATTCCCTTCCTATCCTCCTTTCCTTTGCCCACCTGTCCTTGGCTCCTGGTTCCTTTTCCCTCTCACCCCTAAGAACGATTATGACCAAGGAGACAAGAAAAGCTAAGGCTATTTTTTTTAAAACATGAGAACAACATAATCCACCATAGTCCTGTCACAGAGCACCGTGGTGGGCCGGGGCTGCATGTGCCGAGTGATGGGGGATGGTTGTAAAGGCTGTACTCCAGGTGATCCATCAACCTGCCCACCCAGTCGACACATTCTCTCTCTCTCTTGTTGTCCCTACAGGAAAACCATAAGGGTTAAAATAGTAGATGAGGAGGAATACGAAAGGCAAGAGAATTTCTTCATTGCCCTTGGTGAACCGAAATGGATGGAACGTGGAATATCAGGTGTGAGATTCTTTAAAAACAAAACAATAACAAAAAGAAAGAAAAACGTTCAGCAAACTGGAAAAACAAATATTAAAAAACCAAAAGCAACTCTATTTTTCTTTCTCTCCCTCTTCCCTCTCTTTCCTTTTCCTCCTTTCAACCAACAGACATTTTAAAAAGTCTTTTCCCTCCTATATTCTCGCTCTCACCCTGTTTCGGTGTCATCTCTGCCTTCTTAGTCATAATTTAGTTCCAAATTCCTCCTTTCCCGCCTTCTGGGCAGCACTGCAGCCTCAACTCTTCATTTCCCTAATGAGTTACTTCCTGTCAGACACTACAATTATCCAGTTACCCAGTTGCCACTGTTTTCCCTACCCTCCACCCCCATACTGTAGCCTGTAAATGTGAAACTTCCTCGGTGGGGAGGAGAAAATAAAAGGAAGGAACGTGACATCTTGCATGCCTTGCCTCTACCCTGCCCTGGTCCTGCTACCCCTCACTCTTCTAGTAGAGATTCAATATGGGAAGGGAGGGCCAGGGCTGGGGGCTGGGGCCCATAGTGTCATGATGCTCTGATTGTTTCCTGCTGCATTCCGCAACCTGAATGCTTGGCAGGCTATTTGCTTGTAGAGTGGCCCATAGGCCCTCTATCCTTCGTGGAGGTAAGTGCATGATGTAGTTATTTCCCAGTTGAGTGTTGAGTCGACAGACTATGGCATGAGGTGTTAACACCAAGAGTCAGAGGCCATAGCTTCTGAGAGCAAGAGAGCTGGCTCCAAAGGTAGTCCTGAAGCCAGAAATCCTGAGCCAATCTTCCTCTGCCTGGCTTCTTATCTTCCCTCTTCTACGAGTTTTTTTTTTTTTAGTCCTTTTTCAGACCATTTTAGGATAATGCCACCTCTGCATTAGAAAGTCTGCAAGAGGAAGGGAATTTCCAATGGAAGGGACTCTGGAATAGGATGGTGGTGCTGCTGATCTTTGAGAGACAGCTATTGAAGATGGTTGATAGATGGTTCATGGACCACCTGCTGTTGTTTGGCATCTGCAAGTGAGGATATTGCTCACATCCCAAGATACTAGAGCACCTCACACTAGAGCAGTGGGCCCTCCTCTTCTTTCCTCAGTAACTGCCATGGGTCCATCCCAATGGGTTCATCTCAACACCTGCCATGGGTTCATCCCTCAAAGCCTTTTGGTGTTGTGACCAGGGTATAGACGTAAGGATATAAGGAAAGATTTTTGTTTTTGTTTTGTTTCCTCTCAGAGAAAATGATTGATAGCCACCACCAGTGTAAAATGGCTAGAGAAACAAATATGGTAGTGAGTAAGAATGCCTTTGGGGGGTGGGACCAAGAAAAGGTCCTTCAGGCTATCCTTCAGGAGAGATATACTTGCAAAGAATGGAGCAGTGAAATCCACTTGTTTGCCCAAAAGGAGTGGTCAGTCTGCAACTACTTCATAGTTGCATGATGGGGAGCAGCAAACAGCCAATAAGCTAAGAGGATTAGCAACAACACTTCCAAAGCTCCTTTACAGGTCTCTCAGACTTGATTGGCCATCAGCCTCATCTACTGGGTTCTGTCTATGGGTATTTTTTGCACCACTGTTTTGGACACATCTGTCCATGTGGTGTTCTAGAAGAAGAATACCTCCCCATCTGCATTGCCTGCCTTCTTCTTCACCAAATATGATGTTGCCATCAACCTGACTACTGGAGAATGCCAGAAGAGGGTCTCCTATGCTGTTGCTTCTCACATTGTATGCCAGCCAATAATCCAGTTCTTGTCACCAGTAATATTCTCAGAAGTTTCCTCCATACCTTCCCTACTTCATTCCTACCTCTCTTGTGCATGTACGCCCACATCTTCAGGATTGGTTGGAAACATACACTACCCAAGGCTGTTGGAAACTGCAGTTACCAATGGCTATAATTCCCAACTACTTAGGTGCAGATGAAAGCATCATAAAGGGTGGTATAAGGCACTGGAGGGAAAGCAGAGACTCCAAATAGGAGGAAGGATTTGGAGGTCCATTTATACCTTTATTCTACCAACAAAGGAGCTATTCTTTTCTGCCTCCCCTAAGACCTCCTACCAATAGCAAGACATAGAGTGGGTTAAAATAAGCCTTGTGCTCTTCAAGAAACTTGACCTTGCCAGGTTCCAGTGGTTCATGCCTGTAATCTTAACTACTCAGGGGGCTGAAACTGGAGGATCACAGTTTGAAGTTAGCCTAGGCAGGAAAGTCCATGAGACTTTTATCTCCAATTAACCATCAAAAAGCCCCATGTGGAGCTGTGGTTCAACTGGTGGAGTGCTAACCTTGAGCAAAAAAAGCTCAGGGATAGCCTTAGGCCCTGAATTCAAGCCCCAGGACCAGCACAAGAAAAAAAAGAAAAAATAAGTAAAAGAAAGGAAAGAAACCCGACTAAATGGAAATGCCTGTGGTTACTCCCCATTTGAGGGCACCTTCCTATTTGTGCTGGATTCTCTGCCTAAGGAGATTGCAGCAAATTTCTAGGGGAGGTTAGACCCAGGGAATGGAGTATGTGAGAAGACAAAGATTTCAGCAAGCCTGTGTGGAAGATGCCCAGATGGAACCTGCCAATAAGAAAACGTTCACTCATCCAACCTCCTGCTCTGTAGTCTGGGGGAGGGGGAGTAATTTTCAGTTTCTTCAGTTCTTCTCAGATACTGGCATTGGACTATAGGGTGAAAGGTCATAAACCCTAATTGTCTAGACTCCGAATCAAATGAAAACCATTATTGATTTGCAGAATTCCCTGCTGTTCTCAGATTGAGAGACGGTATAGTGGAAATTGCTTTTCATTATCACTGCTATATAGGAGCGTCTTAGGCATTCAGAATGATGTAGACGCTGCATGGTCAAAATGACAATTGCATTCTTTTTTTAAAAAAAGCACTGAATTTGAAATAGGAGATTCTTCTGAGTAAACAAAACAGATTTCAGACGTGTTATTAAAAGCTCTAGACAATCTGGGGTGAGAGATAAATGGAAGAATAAGTAGGAAACACATTGCCTAGGAGTGGAGTAGGTCCTAAATGTAAACTTCTGAGAACACCAAGTACCATCAAGGTTGTTGGGCCTGAGCTACATTACTGGAAGAATCAGACAGGAAAGGAAAATACTGCCCTCCACTAATAGAACCTGTTTTTTCCTCTTCTTTCCTTACCCAGGGACTCACCTTGAGAAGTGCCCCCAAAGGCTTCTAATGATTCACAGAGATCTATTCTTTCCTGCTTGTCCCTGGAGTGGCTAGGCAGAAATAAATGACTCTCATTCGACCCTGGGGATCAGTACAGGGGAAAGTTCAGCTCCAGTTTCTCACATCAGCAGCAGCAGCAAGAAAAACACCCTGAAGGCATCATGTCACTCAAAGTTGGCCTTCCTGGATCTCACAGACACGTCTGTGAGCACTCAGTGGGAAGTCTCAGATTCATAGAGACATGGTGTAGCTGAGTACAGTAATGTGTGGAAGTCTCCCACCTTCAGTGCAACTTGAGGGCCAGGAGCAGTTTATTCCATGCAGACCCATGGAAGAAGCAGAATAAGTAATCTCTCTTGGAAAATCATCTCAATGTAGTGAGGCTATCCCTTGGCCTATTACTTCCTTGATATAGATGAGAAAAGTCAACTACCATCCATCTGATTATATACCATGCAGATTCTAAGTCTTCAGTGATTGTAAATATGGAATGATGGATCCCAGGTCTGAGTTGCATTCATAGGGATGACTAGAAGTAACAATTGACAGAACTCCCACACACATACACACATATTTCTTTCTCATCAATCTCCATTAGTCGCCAGCTGTACCAAGGGTATGTGGCAGAATGTTTCCCAACTTCTATCTGACAAGTGCCAAGGAATAAAGGATGCACCACAACACCATCAAGATGAAGCATGGTGTGTCATAAGATTGGTCTTTTTTTTTTAAATGTTGGAGCCTTGAAGTCTAAGGAAGTGTAGCATAAGTATAAATTAAATGCCTAAGCAGTGCCTGAATATGTCTTTGACTCCGTTTCTCAAGCCACATGGGAAACTTGTATTCATCATCTCACATCTATGTCTGATAGTCTGTTTCAGAATATCTGGATCGTTGTCTTCTCTTTCTGAAACAAAAACCCACATAGAGATAGAGAATCTAGGTGAGATCTATGGAAAAGGCAATTGCCAAAATAGATAGCAAACAACCAAGCTTGCTAGAACACTACAAGGTACAGGGACTTTGATAGTTGTAAGTGGTACAACATGAGAGGAGCCCATGGCTCTCACCTCCAGGAAATCACTATTTAAAAAAAAAAGACAAACCATTTCTAGGAAGCGTTTTATAGGACTTATCTTTTCACTAGGTCATTTTTTTAGGATGGAATCAAAATTTTGGCCAACATAGTAGCTCAGGTGTCATTTGTAGCCATGAAAACCTTAGTGGGCCCTGGGAAATGTAGCATGATCTGATTGTGAGGTTAGAGGTAGGAGTCTAAGTGTAGACAGACACTGTTTCACTCTGGTACCATTCAAACTCATTCAAACATCGAAAGCCCCAAGTTCCCATTCAAACCCTATGGTCATACTTAATCACTGTGGTGATTAAGACAGTTTTCATGATAACTGGATTCTTACTTCTTTTTCCAGTGGATCACAAATCAGTTTATATCCCTCTCACCTGGTCTCCCTGTCCTTACTCCTCCATTTCCGAAAATTTCAAGTTGGAGGGAAATGTGGGAATAACTCTCTTTTAACTGCTCTGCAGCCTTTCCAGCTGCCCATGCCTCTTGCTGCTGCTATTGCTGCGCATGCTCCAAAATGCTGCCTTGTGCATGTATTCCTGAGCCCTCACCTACTAAACTCACTGCTTTCCTTACTTGGCCAGAAAAAAGCTTGGGAATACTTTCAAGATGGAACCTTAATACTCTTTCCTTTTCTTTTTTCCCCTTGTCTGGTATCCACTTACAAACAGCGCTCCTGTTATCTCCAGGTAAGAGGTATCTTCCTCCTCTTTTCTACTTCTTGCCAAGGCTATTATTTGGTTTCAGATCAATGGCCATTGATTTGTTTAATAAGAACAGCAGGCTCTTGTTAACCTGACAAGTTCTCCTAAGGACTGGAAGACTTATCTCCCTATATGAAGTAATTGTAAGGAAGTACACTATTTCTTGAGCATCATTTCTATCAGTGGATGTGGGTACATGCATAGCTCATTCTCTCTGGGACTAGAAAGAAAAATGAAACTTACCAAAAGATGGTGGTACATCTCTTATGTCTTGATTCATCTGCACCTCCGGTTGCTGGGAAAGAGATGGAGAAAGTCTAACCAGCAATCTTCCAATAGAATTGTAATGAGATATTGCAAAAGAACATACTTGATCCCAGGTGACCTAAGAGAAATGATCAAGAGCTGCTATGAGAACATGAAAAGCAATTTTTTAAGTAATTTGGAATTTTACTGATCCTGGAAAGTTTCTAACTTATCACAGCTAACATCTAAATAGCTAAGATTTTGGTTCATTTTTTTCATTGTATGTTATGACCAAGAAGAAGAGGGATAGGGCCAAAAATAGAGATTTGGGGGCCTTTATTTCGGAGAGATTCTTGTGTAGAACTAGGTTCTACATAGGACGTACAGCTACTTTGTTGGTAAGTTTATATGCGTAGAAACTAGTCAGGCATCTCCCCAGATCTGGCAAATAATAATTCTTGGTACAGGCAAAGCAGGCTCTGGGATATCACTCCAGTATGTCCAAAAGAACATCTTACATTCCATCAGTTCTTTGAACATAGTAAAAGTGTAAGGTCATTTCAAAGGCAAACTATCTTACAGAGTTTATTGGTATTCAGGCTATACCCTAAGATTAGGAAGAAGCAATGTAAACAGGAAAGTCATTTACCTTCTTATAGCCTTAAACAAAATAATGTAGGACATTTCTCCATTTTTCTTTTGTGAAGAAAATTACTTCAGCTTCCTTGTCATGCTGATTCCTTTGTATACCAATCCCTAACCCTGTTCTTCATTCTTCCCTCAAGGTTTTGATCTTATAGCATCGTTTTTCCTCACTCTACTTCTTCTCTACTTATCTTCTTGTATGTGAAAATAATCCTCTTGTATGTGAAAAATATATATTCATATGTAAGATAATTAGGTATTTTGTTCCATGTCATTCATATATATATACATATATATGATTGTGACTTAATTTAAGTTTCATTATATTTGTAACATACTTTCAAATACCAATGGAAGCTAAAATGGCATTGTTTTTACATCTTTAAATCTGTACATCTTTAAGCCTTTAAATAAAGGTGTTAAATCCCCTGGAAATTTCAAATCTTTATTTTGATTTTCTGGGGAAAAAGGCCAACATGATTAATAACATTTGGTAGTAAAAGACAGAGAGTATGCTAATCCTGAGCTACTTTACCAGTACAGGGGACTTGGAGTGAGAGTCTTAGTCACATACCCACACTTCTTTTTGAGGATGCCTGCTAAGCATTCATAACCCATTCACTGTCTGACCTAAGAAGTGTGTGTTCTTCCAGTACTTGTCCAATCTTCCACCATACTCATATTCTACCTGTGTTTCCTTCTTCCACATCTGTCTCTGGAACTGAGAGTTTGATTAGCCAGTGTCCAAATCAAGATCATCTGTCCTTTATACCAAGATCACAAGCCCTTGGCACTTGAAATTCTAAGAAGCTACATAAATAAGTTATAAGAATTATTAAAGTTTTCTTGTTCCGTTAGAGGTTTCTATATCATTCAATCTGGAAGCCTTTAATTTAGAAGACCTTAATTAGGCTGTAAGTTCAAGACTTAACATTCTGTCAAGAAATTTAAAGCAATGATCATTACAAAAGTGGGAAAAGGCAGGAATTACTTTCAAGACATTGAATCAGAATTTACATAAAGGTATATGTCCCAAATCAGTTAACAGATATATTCAGAGTCCCTGTGGGGCTGTGGATATCCAAAGATAGAGGAGTAGTTATTTGCCAATGAGACTTTTGAGGAAAGGTAGATGGAAAAAACTGTCACCACAGGGGTGGGCAGGTCAGCAGGTTGATCAATAATCTGCCAGATAGATATACTGCTAGATTGATAGCTAGACAAGAGGTTAGACAGGTACATTTATGTGTCACTGGAGAGCTCATTGTATTGGTATAAACTTCCTGTGGCACATGTAAAAGATGATATGGGGGAATCTGGGGGGGGGTAATAGAAAAACACTGTCACTTCTAAGATAGACAGTATGATATGGTGCCTAAAGCTACAGGCCGAGGAAGAGACTACCTATTTTTGCAAAAGGAATCTATGTAGTTCTTTCTAAGGGCTTTATCCCAGTGTGACTTGCAATCTTGTTTCTAGTATTGTTGGTCTCAAAGATAACCAAACACCTAGATGCACACAAATTTGCTTCTAGGCTTAAATAATAAAAGACTCAGGTTCAATGACATTACTGAAGTCAGGCTACTTGCTGACTTGGAAACATACAAAAGGACATAGGCCCTCAAGAAATAATTGTTTACTACAGGGATACAGCACCATGGACAGCTCCCAAACCTTTTTTTTTTTTTTTTTTAGATTGCTAGAAACACTGAGTGAAATATCTCACCATACTCAGGAATCAGAGCCTGAAGACTCTCACTAAGGAACAGATCAACTAAGGAAATCTTTACATACAATATCTGCTCAGTAACTTATACTTTTGGCTTATAGCCTTTTCAGTGAATTCTTTTTAATTGAAATCTCAAGAACTGACATTCTCTCTCTCTCTCTCTCTCTCTTGCATGTGTGTGCGCGCACGTGCGCGCGCGCACACACACACACACACACACACACACACACACACACACACCTGTCTTCACAAATTCTCTAGCTAAAAAGAAAAGAAGCCATGTGTAGCCTTTGACCCATTTTTGTCCTTGAGATTATCCAGGGGCTGGAGGGTCCCCCTTGGAGGTTTACTGTGTGGGATGAAAGCAATTATGGAGCTGAATAAAAGAATTAATTGCATGTGAGAATGTAGCCTGGGATGGGAGGGTGCTTAAATGAGCTCTGAAAGAAACAGGCTACCAAGAGTGATTTTCTAATCAAAGGGGAATAAAAAGATTCAATCTCTATTTCACTCTAATCCAGAAAACATGTCTTCATGGTGAAGTAGTCTTAAAATGGACTCACCAGCTGAAGTAGAAAGTATCTTTAACTAGTCAGCGTGAGAAAGGATCACTGGTAAATGAGTCAAGATGCTGGGGGACACAGAGGAGGCCCCAGAAGAAAGTAAAGGAATACCTCTCATCTGTCTCTGTTTTTGAACAAAGTGTTTGTGTTCCTGAAGAAATGTGCTTGAATTGTAGAAAAATCCTGGGAAATCTTTCAGTGAAGCACCAGGAAGTTTCTGGAGGAAATCTTCCACCTTTCCCACTGTGAGGATAGTAGTCACTTGTCTGAGATGTAGATATCCCTAGAATTATGCCCCCTTCCTCTTTCATGGAAAGTGTCAGCATTGGAAACAGTTGTCAACTACTAGACATTCCCATTGGATGAATGTGGGAAGGCCCTAGAACTCTTCCATGAAGTGGCTGGAAAAAGAACCAGACCCAACAGTTAAACCAAGTCAAGAGATTTGGCTTTTCTTTCCCACGCCACATCTCACTGAATGACTTGCAGACTTCACTTGGTCCTCTTTCTGGGAAAGCCTTTGACTCAGCTGGTCCACCCAGGTATAAGATAGAGACATACTTATCCGAGGCCTAGGATGAGCCTTGTCACAGTCTGATAGTCATGACATGTTCAGAATCTCACAGAATGATGCATTGAAAAGTATACAAAGGCCCCATTCCTGAAAGATATTTGCTGTTTCCAATGACCATGTCTAAAAGTCTGAGCTTTAGAATCCTAGTCTGATTACTTTATTATTTTTTTTTTGCAGAGGTAACAGACAGGAAGCTGACTGTGGAGGAAGAGGAGGCCAAGAGGATAGCAGAGATGGGAAAACCAGTCTTGGGAGAACATCCCAAACTAGAGGTCATCATTGAAGAATCCTATGAGTTCAAGGTCAGGCCATCAGTAAAGTCTAGTTGAATAATAGGATGAAGGACAGAAAACACATGTTATTGTTCCACTTCCATCGCTAAATATATGAAGTTGAAACCAGACAAATCAGTTCCCCTCCCCTCCAGCCAGGGCTCAGTTTCAGCAAATAATGCTGGCTATTTGTAGGCTAGAATGTTGTAAGGACACATAATACAGACTATGGAATCAATGGGCTAGAAAATCCCTAGATGCACCATCAAAATTGTTTAACTGTATTTTAAAAATATAGACACCAAAACTCATTACTGCAGGGCAAGGTTTATTGACATCATATTCTTATTCTTTATCTTATTGCTGAATACTCAAGAACAGAAGTTACAATCTTAGAAAAAGAAATAAGAGGGTTGTCCCTGAGGATATCACCCAAGTCCATTCCAGACAGCTTTCTGAACCCCTGGAATGCAAGGCACCTTTCATTCCTCTAAAGCGCCAGACTCCACATTGGTTCTGAGTGTTCTAACCTCACAATTCCAAGTTTTTCTCTCTCGAACAGACTACAGTGGACAAACTGATAAAGAAGACAAATCTAGCCTTGGTTGTGGGAACTCATTCCTGGAGGGACCAGTTCATGGAGGCAATCACAGTCAGTGCAGGTAAGCAAGGCCCCAAGTATCCTCACTGAAAGAATTACACAATTCCCTGAGAAGGAAGGGTGTAACCCGATCAGCTGTCCACCAGTTCCAGGAAGGGCCAGTCTTCATGGATGTATCCAGTCTTTAAGGCTCTGATCCTAGATGTTCACATGTTTCACTATGTCTTATTGGAAGAATCAGAGAGTAAACTAAAGAATATGGTTATGTCTGCCTTCAAATCCTGATTCTGCAACAGGAATAAGAGTGAGTATCCTCACTGCCGTCATTGTCCTTATCCCCGAAGAACTACTGCTACCTTCCTCAGAAAGGCTTATCTAACTCTGTAGTTAGCACCCAATAAGCCAGGTGCTTGGACTCAAGCTTGTAATCCTAGCTACCCAGAAAGTAGAGATCTGAGGAAGCCAACTCAGGCAGGAAAGTCCATGAAACTCTGATATTTTTTTTTAGATCTGAGACTGAGACTTGAACTCAGTACCTGATGATTCACTTATTGGCTGGCACTCTACCAACTGAGCCATGCCTCCAACTCCCTAGAGACTCTAATCTCCAGTTAACTGCCAAAAAGCCAGATGTGGAGCTGTGGCTCAACTGGTAAAGCATCAGTGATGAACAGAAAAGCTAAGGGACAATGCCCAGGCTTTGAGTTCAAGCCCCAGTATCATCACAAAATACTATCACTACTACTACTACAACTACTACTACTAATAATAATAAAATAATAATAATAATAATAAGCACTCAATAGATTCTGATTTCTATCATGCCTTTCTTTTTTCTTGTTTGGTCTCTCTTTTCTATAAAGTTGTGAATGACTATGATTTAGAGTTCGTTGGAACAGGAATTTGCAAAAATGCTTCATATTGATTCTGACCAATCTCCACCCTGGGTGATTGCCACTTCTCTTTTGGATTTACTGGTTGGCCCCAGAGGTGCTGGAATGAGGAAGGATAGTATCTCCAAGCCACCCTCCATTGCCTCTCAGCACCACTGAGCCCTCCTTGTACTGCAGAGAACCACTGGCCTTGTCTTTTTCATGAGGCTTTGTTGTCATGGCAACACAAGGGTCACATCCCCAAGGTCCTAGAGGCAGAGCAAAACAGTACGGCCAGGAAGGAGGATGGCTGCTGCTACTGCCGCCCTACTTTCACATCGCTCCTTCCAGTGCTCACTCAGATGCCCTACCTGTGTCCCTTGAGAGACAAGTGAAATAAAAGGCCACATGATCCACCCTTCCTACTTTTACACACAAAGGAAATGAGGTCCAGAAACAACAAGTCATATATCTCAGAGAAGATTTTCTTCATGCAAAATTAGACTTAGAATCCAGATTCCTGGCTTTGACTTCTTTTTCCAAACATGAGCTTTTATGTGACCAGTGTGCCTCAGCACACCTTTTTCTGGGCTGCTGAATGGGCAAATCTGCCTGCAGTCTCTGGCAAAGACAATGGGGACCCATCTCTGCTCTTCCCCCATGGGGCCCCTGGGAAGCTGGTACTGGCTCTCTGTTGTACCTGCAGCCTCTGAAATGACAGCCATCCTCTGAGGACAGAAATGACCCAGAGTCCGGATGGTTAATATAGAAGTCAGGGTGGAAAATTCAAGAGGAGCCCTGTTGGTATTCAGTAAAGAGAGCAAGCATGTGACCCGTTTCTTTCTTTTTTTTCCTTTCTTAGGCAATTAACGCAGCCAGCCCAGCCTTCTTTCTTTCTTTCTCCTCCACTCTCTTCTTCTGTGTTTCCTGCTCTATGTCTTTATAGCTTGTTTGTTCCTCTTTTCTATTTCACTGAACTATCACGCTCACTCAGGTGCTCTGGATTCAAGTTGACCAATAAACAAATGACTGATTTGGATCCTAGTCTCATGTTTTCTGCTTCCCATAGACTGGGCCTCACCAGCTGCCTGGGCAAAGTTACACTCGTCTGGACAAGGGTGTTTATAATGTGGGTTAGACTTGATTTTCTCATAAATGAATGATCTTTCTGACCTTTCCTGGGCTTCTTTACCTTGACTCCAGCAGGGGAAGAGGATGACGATGAATCAGGGGAGGAGAGGCTGCCATCTTGCTTTGACTACGTCATGCACTTCCTGACGGTCTTCTGGAAGGTGCTATTTGCCTGTGTGCCCCCCACCGAGTACTGCCATGGCTGGGCCTGTTTCGTCGTCTCCATCCTCATCATCGGCATGCTCACCGCCATTATTGGGGACCTGGCCTCTCACTTTGGCTGCACTATTGGTCTCAAGGATTCAGTCACCGCTGTTATTTTTGTGGCATTTGGCACCTCTGTACCAGGTGAGAGCAGGAGGCATTTGTTTGTAAAGAGGATAGTGTCTGCTTCAAATGATCCCTGCATTCTGCTTCTGCCTTTTTGGCAACTCAGATCTGAGCTTAACACAGAGACTGTTCTTGCACTACACAAAAGTTAATCCAAGAGATTAATGACAGTAGTAATGGTGATAGCCAACACTCCCTGAACAGTACTGATGTTCACCATTTATTTATACATTCAGTCCTTGTAATGATCACCAAAACCCTACCAATTAGGGAAGCTTATCTCCTTATGACAGATGAGGAAACTGAGGTTCCTTTCCACCAGGTTAAGCTACCTGCTCAAATATAAGGTCCTACTTTCTTAACCTCTACAACATATTGTTAGGACACTAAAATGTAAGGTAAAGAATACAGCTAATGTCCTTTTATATACCTCTCCAACACACTAACGTTTAATCTGCTTGAATAAGTTAATGTTTGTGCCTGCAGGCATTCTTGGCCTTCTCTGCTTGTATGGACCAATGAGTGCAAACTGTCTCCTAGTAAGATGAGAGAGGGAAGCTTACTGAGATTTGTCCTTTCAAAGGATGAATGATGTACTCTTCTTATTCTAAATACCTAGAAACAGGAGTAGGCACCCTTTAGGTCATTCCTTGGGCAACTATTTACTGAGCTCCTGTTGGGCCTGATACAATTTTGTGTTAGTTGCTAAGGAAAGTGGCGAGAGTGGTATGTTTCCTTCTTCACCCTGAGTTTGTAATCTAGTAAAGGGTTCTATATTTAATACTCTCTCTAATATAATTCTAATCAATTCCATGAAGCAAAAGTGTAAAACAGGGAGACTTAGGCTAGGATGGGATCAGGGATAGATCTCAAGGAATGTTGTTATGAAAGCTGAACCTGTGTGGCAAGTAGAGGCAGCAGGTATAGAGGGGCTACATTAGGCCACATTCCTTATTTAATTCAGTTGAGGTCTTCAGCACACTCTGAGTTCTGGCCAGCTCTGAGTTGTTTCTCCAAACAACTCTCCTACAGAAGGTTGGGCTGAACTATCAGGGATCAGTCTGCTGGCTTGACCAAGAAAACCCTTTCTGTACTCAGGAGACACACTGAGTGTGTTCAATACTAGAAGAAGTATGAGCCTACATCACAGTCTAGGAAAACTTCTTCCCCCAACCAAATGCAAATCTGTGGAGTGATTTGTAACACTAGTGATGAAGAGGTCTGGCTAACATGAACATAAATCAGGTGATAAGAAATGTAATGCTATAGGGAAGGTTTTGTGGGTGAGATTCCCTATATTTCAAGCCTTCAGAGACATAAACCATTAGAGGGAAAGAGGCAGATTCTGGGAAAGGAATCGATGGGAGGAGAAATAACAAAGGATCAGAGGCAAAAAAAAAAAAAGTCAAGGTCATAGGCAAGAAAGAGCAAGAAATTTCCTCCGGAAGGTCTGAGAATGTTGACAATGATGAGACAAGTCAGGACAAACTAGGCAGGCAGATAGCTTGGGGCACTTCCATGTCCTGGCATTTGCTCCAGAAAATAAAACACATAGCTGACAGTATTTGGGAGCTTTAAGAAGGTTACTATATGGCCCATACAACTGATTTCATGATTTTGACTGAAGCTCTTTGGAAAAGACCCTAAGGTGAGGGTTTTAGAATCAAGTTTTGGTTACCTTACTGTGTAATCCTGCACAAATTTTTTGGTCCTTGCTTTGTTTACCTGTGAAACAAAATGGTTGGGCTGGTATCTCTGGTAGTCTTCCTTTTCCTACAGTTTAAGACTTAAAACCAAACATCTTTCAAAGCCCTGTGGTCCCACACACTGTAAGGCAGAGAGCATCTTTCTCGTGTCTCTTTGGATATTCCCATCATGGTTCTCCAGCATGTACTCTGTCCTACCCAATGAAGGATGAGGTAGGGCTGGGCACTGGTGGCTCACACCTGTAATCCTAGCTACTTAAGAGGCTGAGACCTGAGGATCATGGTTCAAAGCCAGCCCAGGTAGGAATGTCCATGAGACAGTTATCTTACCACTCAGGAAACCGGGAGTGGCGCTGTGGCTCAAGTGGTAGAGTGCTGGCCTTGAGCTGAAGAGCTGAGGGACAGCACTCAGGCCCAGAGTTCAAGCCTCATGACCAACAAAGAAAAAAGAATAAAAGGATGAGGTGTTGATGAGCCTCATCAGGTCCTGATCTGTTGGTGGGACCAAGGGGAACCATTTCTGTACTCAGGAAACATACCCTTCGGGAGAAGATGTGAGCTTACATCATTCTGTAGGAAAATGAGAGCACAGTGGGATGATGATGTGTACATTAGAGGTGGAGAAGTCTGGCTAACATGAAAATAAGTCAGATGATAAGAAATGGATAAGAAATGATAAGAAGGGGAAGGTTTCCTGGATGAGATGCCTAGAATCACTATTATGTAGGCCTTAAGAGACCTAGCAGGAAAGGGGAAGAGTGGGGGGAAGAATAGATAGAAGAAATAACAGAGGATCAGAGTCTTAAGTCCAGTCCTAAATCCATAGGTATTCTCAGAGTTAAGTGAGTCAATACCCATATGACAGTTACAATCCAGTTCTAACCAGCTTCCCAGAATGACAAAGTTTCCTGGGAAGACATAAAATGACAACACCCCCACCCCTGGCGGGGGGTGTGATTGGACCGGGTGGGAGGTGGGAGGTGGGGAAGACTTCAAAGAAGAATAAGCCCACTTGGCAAATATCAGGGCTGCAATGGCTCTTGGGAATCTTCCAGGCTTCTGCAGAGCAGGAACAAGAAACCCAGATCAGTAATGTGACTTGCCCAAGACCGCTCAGCTCCTGACTGGCAGAGCTGGTAGTGGTCTCTTAGCTCTTGCTACCCAGTCATCTGTCTCTGTCTTTTTCCAGATACATTTGCCAGCAAAGCTGCTGCCCTGCAGGACGTGTACGCCGATGCCTCCATTGGCAACGTCACAGGCAGCAATGCCGTCAATGTCTTCCTGGGTATTGGCCTGGCCTGGTCCGTGGCTGCCATCTACTGGGCCCTGCAGGGACAGGAATTCCACGTGTCAGCGGGCACACTGGCCTTCTCTGTCACTCTCTTCACCATCTTTGCATTTGTGTGCATCAGTGTGCTCTTGTACCGACGGCGACCCCACTTGGGCGGGGAGCTCGGAGGCCCTCATGGCTGCAAGCTTGCCACGACGTGGCTCTTTGTGAGCCTGTGGCTCCTCTACATACTCTTTGCCACCCTGGAAGCCTACTGCTACATCAAAGGGTTCTGAGCCACCAAAAAAGGCCTCCTACAGGGCAGGCCCAGGACTTCTCCTAAGAGAAGGGCACTTCCCCACCAGTCCCTGGGCCAGGGTGAGCAGCCCTGGAGAGGCAGCATCAGAACTCGAGCCCCAGGAACTTCACCTGACCTAGGCCCTGGCAGTCACCAAAAGGGCAAGTCTCAATCAAGCGGAATGGAGGAAACACACACTTTCCAAAGTATTTAATTAACTACAAACCAACCGCAGCAACAAATCCACCTCTACTCCATCCTTTCCCTCGTGTCCTTGACCCATAGCCAAGGTCAAACCCTCTCCTGATCCACCTTCCAACTGTTCCTTTGTCTCTAGTTTTTCTGAGGGCAGGATGCCTCCTCCTGTCTCTCCAATGCGACACATTGTGATTCTCTCATTCAGCTGAGAATGAATCATCTCCACGTGGCTGGTCTAGATGTTCTTTTTGTTGTAATCATTCTTGTGCTTGCTTTTGTTTTTCCATCAGGTTTTGCTTATTGCCTTCTTTCTGATGTCAGCAACAAAGATGCCACTGAAGGAACTTCAGAAATGAGCCAACAGATAGAGGCATGAACTTTCAGCCACCCCCATCTTCCCATCATTTGGGTCACAGCTATCCCTTAGCCCCCATGAGGTCTTCCTGTCCCCCTTCTCTTGATGGGGGATGGAAGTTGAGTGGAAATACACTTACATATCAACTTGGGGAGCAGGAGGAGCTTTGACTCCTTATATTGAAATGGAGTCAAAAACACAAAGTGCTGGGTGCCAGTGGCTCACACCTGTAATCTTAGCTACTCAGGAAACTGAGCAGCCAGTCCAGGCAGAAAACTCTTGTGAGACTCTTACCTACAGTTAACTAACAAAAAGCCAGCATTGGAGCTGTGGCTCAAGCTGTAGAGTACCAGCTTTGAGAGGAAAAAGCCAAGCAAGAGCAGGAGGCCCTGAGTTCAAGACCCAGTACTGGCACAAATAAAACACAACAACAACAAACAAAAAAAGCAATTGTCCACTTCCCTGTCCAAGCCTTTACGCATCTTGTGGTGCCCATATCTGTACACATGACCGCCAACAGGAAAACCTATCAAGTGGGGGTTGTGGGACAAAAAGAGGAATGGGGACACAAAAGGGATTCGTGCCTCTCAAATATCTTTGGTCTGGGATCTGAAGCAGAAGAGAAGAGGTGTTCAACCAGTGAGCTCTGTAAGGGAAAAGATTGTTATTAAACATGTCAGTGTTTCTAAGAAGTATCAACATCACCCCCACACCAACTAAAGCACCACACCAACAGGGCTGACATATCTTTCCTGAAGCCATGGAAGAATTTGTAGGTTTATAAGAGAGCAGGGTGTAGGATCCCTTCCGTGTCTCCTGGCCCTTAGGCCACATTTGAAAACATTTTCACAAGATAGGGACTGAAATTCCTTACATCCTCTCCCTCCCATGTGCCTGCTTGTTTTCAAATCTCATGAAGCTCTTTTCCAATCTGTGGAGCGCATTTCTTGACACACACACCCCTTCAATGGAATCCTAGTCACCATAACCCCATGGAACCTGCGTTTGTTTGTTTTTTAATGGATTGACATGTCCTGTGAACCTTTTCCCAACAAATTTCAAAAGAACTTGGCTTTAAAATACACATAGAAACACAGATAAATACACACCACATCACCACAAACTGCCCACAGGTCTTTAGGCTTTCTGCATTGACATAAATACATTTTCTAAGGGGAAAAATATAATAATAACAGCTGTTTAATTTTAAACACATTTTTTAAGAAAAAAATAACTAAAAAAGAAATCGTGCTTGTGTCATAAACTATGTTGACAGTTGCCGGTGGAAATGTTGGGTTGGTTTAAAAAAAAAATAAAAGCTCAACTTATATCTCTCTGCTTGCTTCTCCCTGTGTTTCTCCAGTAAACAGAACAGAGGCCATCTCAGGTCTCTTCTAAAGCAAATGCAATGCAGGAGAAAGTGTCATCTCCCATCATGCTCAGGTGACAATGTGCCAGCCATTTTTTTTTTAGCAAAATATTTCAAGGAAAAAAGAAACATTTCAAGGAAATGCTCCCTGTCAAACCTTGGAAGTTCAGAAGCTGGGGGACATTTGTGGTTAAAGAAACTGTGATGTGATAAAGAAGGAGCTTTTTGTATGAGAAAGGCACAGCAGGGTAGGGTTCCAGCTAGGAAAACTGTACCCCTTATTTCCAGGAGATGTGTAGCCAACATTCACTTACTGATGGATCATTCATTCAGTGAACATATTTGAACACTTTCCATGCATTGCCCCATAATCTGGTAAGAGAAGAGTATAGTTCCTAAGACATTTCCAGTTTAGAGAGAGGAAGACAAATTTAATCAGGTCCTTTGAGTTACAAAAAACAGAAACCATGAAAAATAAAGAGCAATAGGAGAGGAGGGCAATACCATGAAGGCTTGGTTTTTGGGGTGGGGGTCGGTCTTGTGGAACAAAAAGAAGCACAGCTCTGCCATAGGGGCCTAAGAGCCCTCAAGACCTAGGCCTACGCATCCTGCCCCCCGCCCCCCAGTGGCACATGATCTCTCCCAGCCTGGCTTCTCTCTGCCAAGGGAGCCCAGCCTATTCATCTCCCAAGGGGTTTCTTCTGCTTTGCTTGTCTTCAGCCCTGATGCTATTCCACGACCTCAAAGCTCCTTCTCACAACTAAAACTTCCATTCAGTGCCTGGGTACAAAAGTCTTCAACAGAGAGAATGCAGTTTCCAATTCCCCATTCCTGAAGGGGGCCATTTCCATAATGCAGAAACCCCTGCAGGAGATTTAGTGGTTGGAGTGCCTGGGAGTGGTTGCTGAGTGCTGTGTCTACTACTGATCCAGATGACAGGTGAGGAGCCTTACTGTGTGTGATTGCTCCATCCGAAGAAGCAGCTCATGAAGCCTATAAACACCAATGTGCAAATAAAAATGGCAGTTCTAGCTCTGAGTGCCCTCCCCCACTTACAAGTGGTATAGACAGACTATCATGGGAGCCCAGTGAAAAACAACTCAACCTGGAGGGACTGGGAAAGACTTCATGGAGATGAGAACATTTAAATAGACTACATGGTGGTTTACATTGGTGAGAAGTCTTGTTTTTTGAAGGAAGTGCATTCTAAAGGCACAGGGTAGTCACAGAATAACTACAGTTGTTGGCGTGGCAGGGTATAACATACAAGAGGGAAAGGGGAAAGGAGCTGGATTCTAACTATGGCCAACTTGTGCTTCTGACAAAAGAGTGGTCGCCAGCTTATATTGAAGGCTCTTTTTCACTTTCTCTCTCTGGACTGTGAGCTTTTAGCCCTTGCCTAAGTTTAAACACCCAGTAAAAAAAATGAGGCTAAGAGCGAGGTGCCCATGGCTCATGCTTATCATCCTAACTACACAAGAAGCTGTGATCTGAGGATCATGGTTCAAAGCCAGACTTGACAGAAAAGTCTATGAGACTCTTATCTCCAATTAACTACCTAAAAGCCAGAAGTAGAGCTATGGTTCAAGTGATAGAGTACTAACCTTGAGCAAAAAAAATCTCAAGGCCAACAATCAGACCCTGAGGTTAAGCCCCAGGACTAACACACACACACACATAGAGAGAGAGAGAGAGAGAGAGAGAGAGACTACAAAAGCAGTATTAGTAACAAGTTCTGCTACAGAAGTAGTAATTACAGAACGATGAAATCTGTAAGCAAACCGAAGCAAAATTTAAAAACCAGCAGGAGCTGAGGAAAGGTCTTGGTTCAAAGGTTCATTCTATTTTTCACAGCATACCAAGTGGAAAATGAAAAAGTATCTTTTAGCTGATTAAATGGTCGATGAAAAAAAATCATAAAATCCATTTGAAGCGTCATCTCTATTTTTTGGAGTCATTTCTGGATTGTCCAGAGGTTAGACTTTATCAAGAGAGATGCTAGGATAAACCCCAGAGAATGGGAAAAAGGGCTGAAGGGGGCTGGCTGCCCAGGAACCTGAAGGTCCAAAGAGTCCAGATCCACCCAGAACTAGTTCTGTGGTCTCGAGCCACAGATTCTTTTCGATCACAGTAACAACACTATTTACTCCTAGCTTCAATACTGAGGTTCTACAATGTGTCCAAAAGTGATGTGTAGAAACACACATCAAACAGCCTGACAATCCTGTTTGATATGGCAAAAAGGCATCCTTTTGTGCTGGGTGCTGGTGGCTCATGCCTGTAATCCTAATTACTCAGGAGGCTAAGATCTGAGGATTGTAGTTTGAAGCCAGCCTGGGCAAGAAAGTCTGTGAGACCTTTATCTCAGTGCTGTGGATCAAGTGGTAGAGCACAAACCTTCTGCAAAAGAAGCGCAGGGAATGTCCAGGCCCTGAGTTCAAGCCCCAGGATCAGCAAAAGGAAGGAAGGAAGGAAGGAAGGGAGGAAGGGAGAGAAGGAGGGAGGGAGGGAGGAAAGAAAGGAGAGAAAGGAAAAATAAAGAAAAAAGAAAAGAAGAAAAGGGAAAAAAAGAAATCCTTTTTCACTGCCGTGGCCGAATGGCCTAGATCTTGCCAGCTATTCATGTCATGTGCTGAGTTTCCGCACCTTTTATTGACTGAGCTCTACTACCCCTGCCCCCATCTCTGTCTCCTGTATTTTTAGGACAATATTAGCTGCTGTAATAAATCAACCCTAATACTTCAGTGGATCAGTAAAATAAAAATTTATTTCTTACTCATATACTAATCCAATGAGAATTTTCTTGACCAGTAGGTAACTGTTTTCTATGTAGTGATTCAGGGACTCAGTTTCCCTCCATTTCATACTCTGTAACTTCTGGCCCTTGGTGTTTTTTCATTCAGCATCAGATAGGAAAACAATTAGAGAAGGTGCATACACTTCTAACTGCCTGGGCTCCAAAGTCACACTCTTCAGCTCACATCTTATTATTAAAAGCAAGTAAACTTCACTGCCTCCCCTCCTCCCAAATTCAAAGGAGACTGAGCAATATAGTCCTTAGCTTCACAGCCACTCT